TAAATATGGCTAAAAAAATCAAATCTTTTGTAGCGTTTTTTTAACTCGCTAATAAAACAACCCTCGTATTATACATAAAGTTTACAAACATATAAGATTATAATCAAATGACTTTTGACCTAATAGTATTTTTGGCTTTTCGGGATACCAAGGGTTAGCATCAGTAGGATGTGTGAGCTTATTTGTTGCATTTATCGTATATAAATATTATATATTATATACTCTCAGTTAAAAATGTATAATCTACACTATATTATAAAGCATCTGATAAAAACTCTTAAAAACCATTTTTTATGCATGAAGTACTGTATATTGATGCATATTACTTAAAGTTCAATATTACAAGTAAATTATGCATTAGTACAACTTATTAAAGCTCATGTTTGAATTCGTGTAACTAACTACGGATAAACATAATCAGATAAAGGATAAACATCTCATTTCAAAATATAAAAAATCTAAAATATAATTAGGATAATTATCGAGTTTTAATAAACTAATTAACTATTATCTTTATAAGAAAATTATATTACTAAATCAAATATAAATTACTTCATTGTTTTTTTTTTTTTTTGAAAGGCAAAAAGGAAGGACAAGGAAGAGAGATACGGCATGACTATCGCCCTCACCAAGCCAACCAATATATAAAACAACAGATCCAGCAAGAAGCTAGACACAAGAAGTACAAAAATCCACCAGAACAAGCGAGAAAAAAAGAGAAACAAAACCGAACAGCCCCAGACAAAGACTGAGGCAATAAATTACTTCATTTTTGAACTTAAATTAAATTATAATTAAAAAATTTGAATCAAAAAACAAAAAATGGGAAATTTTAAATAGTTAATTTGATACTAATATCGATATAATTTTATCAAATTTTTATGATATCTTCAAATTTATATTTTATTCAAAAATAAAAACATAATCGTTTTTTTCAAAATCACATAAGACCATATTATAACATCGAGTGAGATAAAAAATAAAATAAAATATTAAAATCAAGATGTATCTTGCTGCATTGCACGAATACCCTTCTAGTAATTAGTAAATAAAAACTATATAAACTAAATTTAATTAAATAGAATTGAACCGTAATGATGAGATGAAAGTAAAGTGAAATTAAAGGGAGGTAGGGAGTGCATGATACATTGAATTTAACACATCACAAGTTTGGTATTTTTTGTGAATATATAATATGATGACTTCAATTTGTTTCATGTCACATAGGCTTATTTTTATTCACATTTTAAAGCATACTTTTTGGTGTTCAAAGTGTATATTTTGTGTTGTTTTCACACCATAAAGTGGTTGTGTGGAACCCATTAATTGGCTTTAAATTTGTTTAACATATATATCGTTTCAGGGGACGTTCTTTACAACATTCTTTTTGATTGATTGGACAAAGAACATGGTTCCAAGTTCAAAAAGGTTTTGCGGGCTACGACGCTCTTTCCCATATGAGGATAGTTGGGTGGGTTGTTTATTATATTTTTGTTACTTCGGCTGATCGAGAACCAAGTCACTTGTAGGGTTGTTGGTTCTTTTTGTAAAGACTCTTTTGAATAGAGAATCAGGAAGTTCTGTATATTATAATCGGTTTAATATTATCGATTTGACCAGGTAAATCATATGCTTTTCTTGTCCACTGTTTGTGCGAATATAAGTACGACCACCCGTCTTTCAAATGCTTTAGAAACACCAGCCCTTTGGATGAAACTGTCTTTATCAAATTTCGTTGTAGAAGATGTTGATTTAAAGTTGAAGGAACAGACGTTGAATATAACGACTGATTACTGCAAATGGTAACATAATAATTGGTATAACTGATAGCAGAGAAACGATAAAAGTAAGAAACAGTTCGATATTTACAAATTTACCCTTGAAAAATCAATTTTGATGCAACAATTGTTTACATGCATATCAAAAATCATATTATTTTTCTCTTCAGTAATCAAAATCTGAGTTGGGGAATTGAACACTGTAAAACCAACTGTTGCTATTTTTAGTCACGATAATCAGATTTGCATGTAACATATTCTATCATTCCCTATATACATAGCATGTGAGAACACGACACCAATTTGTATGTATATAAAACGATATAATTACATGTGAATAATGTTTAATGGCTTTAAAAGAAAAAGAACGAGGAAAGGTTCTTGATTTGACATTGGAGGCAATTAACCTAACATAATCATATGTGAATATTGATAACTTTTGTGTGTGTATTAACTAAATTAAAGTAGACATTAACCCTAAATGTAGGAAGCCTAATCCTGCCAAACATTTTGTCTTTAATACTTTATAGAATGTGGTCACTTGATGGAAATTGGACACTCTATCTAGGGTTAGAGAAAATTTTGTGGTAGAGAGAGCATGATCACAATTAACATTATATATATATATATATATATATATATCTGTTTTTTTTAGATTTTTTGAAGATCAGTGTATAAATATGACTGATTTTATGTCCTATAAAGCTCAAATGGTTTGCAAATACGTAAGTGACTAGACAGACAATGTAGGCATGATTGCATTAAACCTATACCTGGATAGAAGGACCAGGGGTCTATTCGGGACCAGATCAAGACAAAGACATATGTGAAAAGGACCGAGGGGGGTTAGAGTTGTCTGGACCACAAGGCCCTAAAATTCCCAATTTTATTTGGTTGTGATTGATTTGAAACTAGACTTGGTTAGGATCGAATGCGGAAAACTGATTGTAAACAGTAGTTTTTAATTTTTGGTAGGTTTTTAATTACTGTATTTAAGTTGGATGGAATACGTTTAATTCAGTCAAGTGTCTAGATTGTCATTTCATCTCCACTTGGTTATAAAACGTGTAGTATAGATTAAATGACAATCTATGAAATTAAATGATATTCTAGGATATTAAATGATATGCAAATGGACGTAGCGTTTTAGATTTAATCTTGACAGGGACGTTCTTTTTTTTTCCTTCCCAAACTACCCTCACCGATTTTCTTTCATAATTTACCTTTCCTAAAAAAAGAACTAGAAAAACCAAAATTTGGATGAGAAAATCATAGATGTCTGTCATTTCCTCTATTTTAAAGGGTTGAGAGATTGTTTTCGTGAAACTTTTTTAGAGAATCTACCTACCATAAGACTATACTTAGGGATATTCATCGGTTGACATCCATTGGATGTGAGGGGAACATATTCGATCCAATCATCCATTGGATGTTGGATTTTGTCAACTGATCCGATCCGATTAGCATTGGATAACTGATCTGATCCGATCCAATGGATGATCGGATCGGATCGGTTCCATCCAATGGATGATCCGAGGGGATCGGATCCATCCAGTGTGTTAATTCAATTCGATTCTCCAACAATGATATGAATTTGTTTATGTGTTAAAACCAACACAAGTGACGTTAAAAATTCAAAGCTTCACATAAAACAAATTCCGGTTTAAGCAATTTGAAAATAAATTAATTGGATGATAGTTGAATAATGGTTGGATGGTCATCGGATGATTAACTTGATTTGATCGGTTCGGTTCGCCTGTTTTACCGATCCAAATTGGATGTTCAAATTTTCAATCCGATCTGATCCAATTACAATTTGGTATCCAATTATGGTCGGTTGATTCTAATTGAATCAGTTGATTTTCTGCACACCCCTTACTATACCAATGTTATGTTACACAAACTCCTTTACAAACTAGCCATGTTTGATAAAACCTAACTGATAAGCTAGATGTCAATGTAAGATGAGAACATGTTAATAATAATTAATTGAAAATATATAAAAGGCCCTAACGGAAAAACCATATTTTTTTTAACTTATTGAAACGCTACTTGAAATAACTTTTTAAAAAGCCAATAAAGTAATTATTGATTAACCATATGGGCATTTATAAATTTAAAAGATACGATTATCAAACAGCTCATACGAAGGAGTGCAGTTCGTTCGATAAATTCCTACCTCTCTATCTATCTGTGAGATGTTTGAACTGACTAATCCTAAGGCAAAGGGTCGAAAAACTCAACGACGCTATTCTTTTAAAAACATTGATTGGATAAACCCTTGTGAGTTGTGACAATGTGAAGTTACTATAGAAGATTAGTTACTTGATTGAATATAAGGGGATCTGAAGGGTAGTTTATCAAACTCTTACTGGGTAAGCATACTAGCAATAATTACCATATGCACTTATTTTATCGGGTAATATCATCAGTCATCAGAATGGATTGTTGGTAAGCATTTTTTTACCAGATAAGAGTCTTTTACCTCAATGGATAAGATCTCAGACTTGCTATGTCTCTTACTGTGTAAGATTATCGATGTTTGTCATTCTCAATTGTCAAGAAAAATGACACCAATTGCCTACCCGGTATTGTTATATTTACTTGAATAATGAATTGATCGAGTTATGGCATTGTCCAAGAGATTGTATGATTTTTTGCTAAAATGCGTTAATAACTTCCAAGTTTACTTTGTGGACTTTTTTTTGCTATAGGGCAACACGCAAAACTATTTTCTAGCATGAAACGTTCATACGCTACAATCGCATGATGCCATGGTTACCGATTGCTCTTTTTCACTAATGGCCCGTTTACCAATGTAAATTGAGTAAACAATAACCGGGTAAAAGTACGATTTAAGTCAACACTAATCACTGATTGAGTAAGAGAAATGTCCATACCTTAGCTTACCAAGTCAACATCATAGACCTATAAGAAGGGGTTGATAAACATCAACATCTCTAAACAGGTGAGGGCTTCTTATCCGTTGAGAAGCGGTGATCAGGTAATTAAGATACCTTTTTACAAATGCTTATTGGGGCAAGTCACCATCTTCAATTACCTTATCGTGTAACAGTTTTTGCCATAAAAAAAGACTGTTAGTATACATCTCTTACCCAACAAACACTAACCGGATAAGAGTCTTCTCTCTTACTTATCTGATAAAATTCTCGATTCTTGTCATACTCACTACACATACATACTTGAATGTGAATTTGAATGCAACACCAACACAAATGGAATTGGATCATGTTCAAATATCCACAAGTACAAAACCGTTGTAACCTATTATGCAAAAAACAACCAAAATCACGCAAAAGTATTTTCTAGCACGAAAACAAATTGCCACAACCACATGGGGAACCCGACCACTCTGCCCTTCGAATACAAGAATTACCGCATTTTGATGTGGAAAACAGGCACTCTTGTTCTAGTTGTATGCCCATGATCTACGCATATCTGGTGGCCCGTTTGATAGGCCACCAGATATGCTCACATCATGGAGATACAAAAATAAGACTTGAAAGGGCCCATGGTGCCTGTTTGGCACCAGGGAACTTGATAGCGAAATAAAAGATTGCACAAAGAATATGAATTGGTTTTACAAAGTTGTAGGTGGATGTGGTTTTGGTTGAATGCCTCTGTTTCTCATGTAGGTTAAGAATTGTGACGGTAGTTCCGCCAAAAGCGATTGAACAACCGAAACTTCTCCACCTGAAAACACACACACACACACACCCAAAATCTTAATATTTATGTCATAATTGAATAGAAAATGTGAGAAATTAATGGAAATAGCCGATCAACAAATAGGGTATTACTTTTTAGCCATTTTCTAACACAAATTCACAATTTAGTCAATCCTTGTGCAGAAGACTTACGCATATGCGCAAGAATTGTTTTTAGGCAAAAAAAGAAAAAGGAAAAAGAGGTCTCTGTGTAAGGATACATAATCCTTTTTTTTTATTAACCTGGATATTCAACCCGTTATGCAAGCCGACTAATCCCAGGGTGACCACTTGCTTTGCAGATAGCCGGGAGTCACCGCATTTGAACCTCCATGGCCACAAGAGGATTTTTATTCCTCCTTGGATTTGAACTTAGGACCTCCTGGTACTTTTGACCTTTGGAGTCAAAGCTCAAACCAATCAGGCACCACCCTTGTGGTTGGATACAGAAGCCTTACGCATATGCATAAGGTTTCTGCCTAAGGATTCCACTATATGCGTAGGGTTTCTGCGTAAGGATTCCACTATATGCGTAAGGTTTCTGGATCCATAAGCAGAAGCCTCTTTTTTTCTTCTTCTTTTTTGCCGAAAGCCAATCCTTATGCATATGCATAAACCTTCTGCATATGGATTGTCTAAAAAGTGAATTTGGGTCAGAAAATGGCTAAAAAGTGAAACCACCTATAAGTTTTAGCTATTTCAGTAAATTTCCCCGAAAATGCTTATGATATTACCTTGTACATCCCTAAACGGAACAAACTGGACGATATCACGTGATGCAACACGCCCTGTTGTACTTTCAAGTTTCTCGCCTTTATCCGCATCCAAAATCTGCTTACAAAAATGAACACGTCTTGATAAAATTAGTTGCCGGAGCTTTCGTAACCATAATAATAGAGTAAATTACGTTTTTAGTCCCTATGGTTTGTCGAAAATTTCTATTTTCGTCCTTATGGTTTTGAAATTGCGATTTTCATCCTTATGGTTTGTAATTCATTATCTTTTTCGTCCTTATGATTTAAAATTTATTTCTTTTTTGGTCCCTATAGTTTAGATTTCATTTCTATTTTAGTCATTTATACTTAAAAGTAATGTTTTGTCCTCAGTGACTAAAATAGAACTGAATTGCAAACCATAGGCATGAAAATCAAAATTTCAAAACCACAAGGACGAAATCTACAATTTTTAACAAATCATTGGAACATAAAACGTAATTACTCTAAATAATATGAAAAACTGAGAACCATCTATTTCATGTACTATTCATTATGAATAACCCTAATTTCTTAACGGAAACAACCTCTTTACCCTGTGGGGAAGAATAATCATGGATATAGTCGTAACACTTAGCATGGGATTCACTGGGTACGTTTGATTTGGTTTTGTAATCATGAATATAATTAATTATGAATATCATGTATTTTCATTATGAATAATTTTCACCATGAATATCTGTCACGATATTCATAATGAATAAAGCATGAATAATTAGTTCTCATTTTCTCAAAATATTTATGATTCTAACAGCCTGCACCACACAAGTCAACAACACGGGCGTGGAAGCAATTTACTTACCTCCATTTCCTTAAAGTCGGCCCCACCAACACCGACAATGAGGATCGACAGTGGCAAATCCGATGCCTTCACAAGGGCATCCTTAGTTTCCTGTAGATCTGTAATCACTCCATCCTGTCACATCGCCAGTGAAATCATAACGAAAAAACGGATAAAAAATTAATCATACGTTGAAGAAAATACCAACATAACTTTTAAAATCCAATGAATAAATGAACGCATACCGTGATGATTAATAAAACGAAATATTTGTGTTCATTAGCTGCCAATGATTGGCTGGCTATCGTTGCTGCAGAGGTAATTACAGGTCCAAATAAGGTTGGTCCTGCAAGTGAAACATTGGAAAGAGCTCGTTCATATGCTGTCATGATTCCGTGGATCCCTGCAACCTGGGAATACAAGAGTATACAATTGAATATAAGTATTTAAAAAGGGATTCATGAGTGCAGTCTAAATGAATAGATGGTCATGAAAAATACCACGAATTATTTCCGTCAAACCAAATCCACAGATATATTATTTCGGCAACTGGAATATAATATACTATACTGTTGCATTTTATCTTCCACCAAATATCTTGGCACAAACAGGCGGTACTGGGTTACTTGTAGAGCCTGGCCTCCCACGAGGTCAAGGGTTAAAACCACGTGAGAAGTGTGCATGAGTGTTTCTATCTATCTATATATATATATATATATATATACATATATATAGCGGCAAGTTCATAGGAAAACCACAAAAAATGAAAAACTGAGGAACACCCTGGTAACCGCTCATCTGTGCATGCAAGTAACTTGTAAGCAATTTGTCCGGTATGCACAAGTGCATAACATGCACACGTGCATAAAAGCCAAGAATCAACTTCAATTACTTGTATGCACATGTGCATATCGTCAAGATGAATGGTTACCAAGGAGTTCCTCAGTTTTTTATTTTTGTGGGGGTAGAGGATGAATGTAGGTTAGTGAGCCAGCATATAAGCCTCCTGAGCCCTAGGTTAGACTAGGGGCATTTTGGTCTTTGTACCTTTGTTATTTCTTTTCTTTAATGTATATAATATTTATACACGGCAAATGCAACAAATAAACTCACAGACTCCTCACCTGTGGTGAGGTGAGGTTTGAACCCCTGACCTCCTACGAGGCCAAAGACTACAATACCGCTAGGCCAAATGTCCTTTGATTTTGGTATGTTCTCTTGCACCTTCTCTATTTGTATGTTTAATCTGTTTGTATGTTTCAATGTTGTTGCTTAATTCTAACCCACTTTTCAAATTTTAGCACTACCTCTCTTGTTTTCAAGTTCTTTATCGTATGCTTTATTATTACTTCTCGCACCCTTTGCACAAGTCGGGCGCTTTACAGAAATAACCGCTCTACTCTTTAGGGGTAGAGGTCAGGTCTGTGTACATCTCATCCTCCTAGGCCCAGGAAACTGTAACATCCCAGGCTAACCGTACCAAATATTGTATGCTTTGTCCACACACCTAGACTCATGGTACTAAAACACGTATCATAGAGGAGGTACAGTCCCTTGTAAACCATTCTTAGTTCCTCTCGCTAACCGGTGTGGGATCTTATAATAAAATTAAAGTTGCTGCCAACAGGATTTAAACCCGGGACCTACACCAATGACCAAACACATGCACACACCTTGCCACTTTGTCACGACTTCTTTTTTTTATGGTATCAGAGCTGGGATTCGGACTGGCGTGGCAGTGTCGACACTGGGCTCCTAAGGGGGTGGATTGTAAGATCCCACATCGGTTGGGGAGGGGAACAAAGGTTGCCTTATAAGGGACTGGATACCTCCTCTATCAGATACGTTTTAAAACCATGAGTCCGAGTGTGTGGACAGAACGGACAATATCTAGTACGGTTGGCCTGGGATGTTATAGAAATACTGGGCTCGTTTGGTTTGTTTAGGTTTGGTATATCCTCAAAGAAATGTAAGGGAATTTATAAGGAAAGCTGAATGCTTCAAATTGCATACTATAAAATATTACCATTGGGTTAGTGCTGCTTCCATTTAGGTTGAAACAATGAGAGACTGGACCATCAATGGGCCGTGCTCCAAAGCCCCATGAAGGAAACTGTCGATCATAATCGTAATACTGCAATACATCTCCAACCTCTTGTATAGCCTAAAATAGGTGGAACGGGATTAGAATGTGTTTTTCAAGTGTATTTTTGAATAAAATGCAATAAACTTCCTTCTCACTTTTTGATATGCATTTGGTCGTCCAGAATGGTCGATATAATGTAAAGAATCTGGCAGGCGAGGATTTCCGTTTGAAGCTGGCAACAGAATTTACAAGTTAAGCAGCATAAGTTCTTGTCCAAGTGCAAAATCTAAATGATGCCCGAGTATTTGAAATCTAAATGATAATAGTAGAAGAAAATTAGAGCAGAAACAAAATGAAAAGAATAATCATGAATTGAACTAGATGATGAATCAGAGACGGACCTAGAAATTTTTTCAAGTGTGGCACCATTTGACTATAAAAAACAAATATACGGATATTTTTCACAAAATCAACATTGGTCTGGTGGTTAGTTCATTGCTTTCATATGTTAGGTCATGTGTGCAAATCTTTTATTGCAAGTCTTTTTAGAAACATAATAATTCTGCAAGTCTTTTATTGCACATTTTTTAGAAACATAATAAATCTGAAATTAAAAACTAAAAACCGAGAAAATGACACTAATAGGACTCAAACTCGGGTCTAGGGTGGAAGAAAAGTCTTGCAACCAACTCTACCAAGGGAAACTTGTGTGCTCATTGTAGTTTCAAAATATATACGGTGGCACACAATGAATTGATACAGTAGCACTTTTCATGACCCTATAATTTTTTAGACTGCGAAGGATAAACGAAGTGGTCGCCTGTGCCACCGTATGCACAACACTGGGTCCATCCCTGTGATGAGTGGCGGTAGCCTACTCCATGGAAAACAACATCAAGACTAAATTTTGCAATAAGTCCGAAATATATTACCTATATCTATACTAAATTATAAAGCATTTAGGTAAAAAGTCATAAAAACAACATATTAAGTATTAGGTACTGCTTATTAATGCATAATCCCTTAAATTTCAAGTTTACAAATAATTACGATATTTGCACAATTTTTTAAAGCTCTTTGAATTCCATAACACCAACTGATAACACATCTATACATGATACAGAGAAGTCATTTCAGTTTGTAAGTACCAAACATATCATCCCTCCGCCCCAAAACAAATGACCACGATGAAAAAGTCACTTAGCTTTAGAAACGTGTAATTATCATACTTTTTAATTAACCAAGGACCTGTTGGCTAGCAGCTTAAAGAGCTTAATGGGACTCACATCTTATTTGGTCAGCTATATATGATTGTTTGGTATTGGCTTAATGATATAGAAATTTTAGGAGAGAGCTTTATGCAGAAAACCAAGTTTTTTTTCCAAAATGCCCCTCTCAATTAAAAGACACGCTCCTTTAATCTATGAAAAAACCCTACCAAACAAAAACCTTTCCGATCTTTACAGACAGACTAATCCACACGGACAGCTTTATCCATACAGAACTTGACGGAAAACCAGACAAACGCACCTAAGTGAAACTTTTACCCTTAATTATAGAGGGAGCAATGAATTTCTTCATCTCATAATTAAGGGTAGAATTGAAAAATACGCACTTATGGACACTTAGTTTAGAACAAATTAAAATAGCAATGTGGACACTTATTTTAGGACGGAAGGAGTAATTAGCAAGTAACATATGAATCTGCAGAGCAACAAACAGAACTAAATACCAGTGAAATCAATTGCCACCATGAAGTTCAATTCACATCCACCAGACAAGTAATCCAGGAAGGTATGATGAACACTTTCGGAATACTTGTCCACAAAAAGTTGACTCTTCAGTACCTGCATCAAATTTACTATAAAGGGTAAGATTAAAGCACAATAATATAATGGGAAATTGACAAAATAGCCAATCCACCAAAGTCAATTCACTTGATAGCCACTTCAGGACCCTATTTCCCAAACAGCCAAAGTTTACGCAAAATTCTTCCGCATTCTATGTAAGGATTAATTTCGGCCAAAAAATAAAAAATATTTTAAAAACAAACCTTACGTAGAAACCACTTTCTGCATAAAGTTTCTGCGTAAATTTTCCATGTTTTCTGCATAAGGTTTGCTTTTAGAATCTTTTTTTTTTTTTTTGGCCAAAATCAATCCTATGCGTAAGGACTATGCGTAAACTTTGGCTATTTGGGGAAGTGGATTCCTAACATGGCTAAAAAAGTGAATTGACTTTGGTGGATTGGCTATTTCTGTCAATTTCCCTGGTATAATCTGTAGATCCACAGGCATTCATGTATACAAATACGAATGTGTGGTTACCTTTGTTTGAGGATCTTTGCCAATAGTAATGGGTAAAAACAAATTCTCTCCCTGCTTACTAGAAGATAACTTTTCTAACTCTGCAAGTGACTTTTGAACTTTGCTGAATGGCCCAAAAGAATGAAAAAACAAAAACGGATCAAAAAGAAAAAGCAAAATCAGCACTTTATATCGAAAGAAAGGATGTCAAAAGTAATGGTATTGTCTTACCCAAGCAAATCATGCTTCCCGTTACTATTAAAGTTGAAGCACTCGATAACGACTGGACTGTCCTGCATAGATTCCACTAGAACAATAAAAGAGGATCTAGCACCGGCTAAATGAAGAAGAGTATGACATATGTTGAACATAATTCCACATGCAGATGATATAAAATGCAGCAACTGAACACTGTTGGTGATTGTAGTGTCATCACCCATTTGGTAAATTGTGATTTACTTGAGATCGATTAAAGTGACAAGGCAAAACATATGTGAGTTAGGAGTTGCTGAGTGCACACTCACAAATGTTGCCCCTATCACCTTAGATCGCCACAAGGTAGGGGTCAAGGGGGACGCGCCCCTTTGCGGAGTTCCAAGGGGCAGAGCCCCATGGCGGTGGTTTATGATTTTAAGAACAGTTAGGAATCGATAATTTAAGCTTCGGGATAATCTGGACGAATTTCAGAAGGTTGGAAACCTTCTTGAAATTGTTCCCGAGGTTGGACGAATTTTGACTCAGGGGCGTGTACCAAACACTTACCCGGGTAAGTGCTTACTAAGTCACATTACCTTACCGGATGAATATGACAAAGACCAAAAATCTTACCCAGTAAGAGCGAACGCAAGGACCGAGAGTCTTACCCAGTAAGTGAGGGTAATGATTACCATGCGCTTACCGGGTAAATTGTTGCATACGATACCGTTTTGGTGGACTAAAATCTTACCCACTAAGTAAGTGATAGTGTTGAATTTTACCGGTAAGTGCTTACCGGTTAAGTATTTGGGTAAACGGCCCCCAAGTCTAATCATACTTAAGATCTGTGCAATCAGACTTAGGTTCTGCGCAATCAGACTTAGATTCGGTACAACCAGAGTTTGGATACAGTTGTAACTGTTCTCTAATCTTATCCATTAACGGTTATAACCACTCTTAACCTCCATAATTGTCGATCTCTTATATAAATATGTAAACAAGAATCTGGGTATATATAAGGATTCGATCTCACAGCCTTTGAAATAGAGGGTTTCACTTGGATTATCCCAACACGAAATTCGTGATACCCAAGACGGTAAGGGACGAATTATTGTATTTTGACAGTGAACTTTCACGATCCAAAGAGATTATCCCGTCATTGAGTCATCCCTTAATCCCCACAACTAACAAACACTTTACCCTCATAATTTAGGGATGAGATTGCTAAATGCTAGCTCATAATGGAAGTCAGACAACAAAACATTGTCCCACAGATGATAATCAGTATGGAAAATGAAAACTCATTGATGACGAACACCTACGGCCTTGAGGATAATATGAGGTTGCCAAAATACTACCTCGTGCTACCTACATAAAGGGACCTGAAATGTGGACACTCATTTTCGGACTGGGGAATTAGTATTTACTTTGACATTTACCCTCTGTGAGGTGCTTCAATATCACTCAGAACCAATATAT